ACTCCAGATGTGGCCTCACCAGGGCTGAGTAGAGGGGCAGGATCACCTCCCTCGACCTGCTAGAGATGCTCTTCTTAATGCAGCCCAGGATTCCATTGGCCTTCTTGGCCACGAGGGCACACTGCTGCCTCATGGTCAACTTATCATCCACCATGACACGCAGGTCTTTCTCTGCAGAGCTGCTCTCCAGAAGGTCGGTCCCCAGCCTGTCCTGGTGTCTGGGGTTATTCCTCCCCAGGTGCAGGACCTTGCACTTGGCCTTGTTGAATTTCATGAGGTTTTTCACTGCCCAGTTGTCCAGTCTGTCCAGGTCCCTCTGGATGGCAGTGCAGCCCTCTGGGGTATCAGCTACTCCTCCCAGTTTGGTATCATCAGCAAACTTGCTGAGGGAGCACTCTGTGCCTTCATCCAGGTCATTGATGAATAAATTGAACAGGACTGGACCAAGGACTGACCCCTGGGGGACCCCGCTAGCTACAGGCCTCCAACTAGACTCTGCACCGCTGATCACCACCCTCCGAACTCTGCCAGCCAGCCAGTTCCTAATCCACCTCGCTGTGCACTCATCTATCCCACACTGCCAGAGCTTGCCCAGGAGGATGTTGTGAGGGATGGTGTCAAAAGCTTTGCCGAAATCCAGATAAATGACATCCACCACTCTCCCCTCATCTACCCAGACGGTCATTCCATCATAGAAGGCTATCAGGTTAGGCAAGCATGATTTCCCCCTTGGTGAATCCATGCTGACTACTACGGAGAACCTTCTTGTCCTCCACACGTTTGGAGACAACAGCCAGGATGAGCTGCTCCATGCCTTTTGCAGGGATGGAGGTGAGGCTGACTGGCCTGTAGTTGCCTGGGTCCTCCTCCTTGCCTTTTTTGAAGACTGGTGTGATATTGGCTTTCTTCCAGTCCTCCAGCACCTCCCCCGTTCTCCAGGACCTTTCGAAGATGGAGAGCAGCCTAGCAATAACATCCATCAACTCCCGCAGCACTCTGGGGTGCATCCCATCAGGGCCCATGGATTTGTGGATGTCAAGTTTCCCTAAGAGCTCTCTGACCCAATCTTCCTCTACCCAGGGCAAGTCTTCCTCTCTCCAGGCACCTTCTCTGGTTTCTAGGGTCTGGGATTCCAGAGGGCTGCCCTTGGTAAACATTGAAGTGAAGAAGGCATTCCGTAGATCTGCTTTTTCTGTCTTTTGTAACCAGAGCACCCACGCTGTTCATCAGCAGACCCACGTTTTGCCTAATCTTCCTTTTATCATTCATATACTTGAAAAAGCTGCTCTTGTTATTTTTAACATCCCTTGCCATCCCTTGAAATACTTCTCATCCCTTGAGATACTTCTGACAGTGACTGAAATTTCACACACTCTGGAGGACATGGGTTGGGAGGAGCAGAAGAGCAAAGCTGACAAAGTCCAGTATAGAGAATCAAGGGAAGAAGAAAAAGGCTGAGCACGTGCTGGGAAATTAAACACACAACAAAAAAGCAATTTACTCCAGCATGCCTTTGTAAGTGCACTTTAGGCTCTGGCTGGACTTTCAGATCTTCATGCAGAGAATAAAAAGTAGTTTGGGACTCCCCCTGCCTTATCAACACAAACCACATTTCTATTTTCAAAATTTGTTTCCTGCAAAAGCACCTTGCTGCCATAGGAAACTACTGTAAAAGTGTTGGAAGAAATAAAAAATAATAATTAAAAAAAAAGTCTGGAAATGCATCTAGGCAGCCTACCACCTTCCGAAGAGCCAAGCAACAAGAGTCCCCATCATGAAATGTGTCATACCTGCACGGGATGAATGAGACCTTGGTTTAACGTCAGTGCGATGACATTTAGAGCAAAGTGGCGCACGCTGGACTGGGTATGAAAGAAAGCCTCAAGGACCTGTTTGAGATACAGCTGCATGATGGAACTACTCATCCCTGAGGAAATATCACCCATTTCTTTCAGGTCTTCCTGTTTTGCTACTTTTTTCCCTGTAAAAAGGACAAAAGCAATAGCACACTCGTCACAGTGGCACTTAGTTTGCTACTATTTGATGCATACCGGTCTTTAGGCTTTGAAAAGTAGTATTTCAGCTAGCTTAGAATCGATTTATCATCTCATGAAACTTATTAACAATCTAAGAGCAAAATATACTTCAAAAATCTAAAGGGACAAGACCTTATTAAAGTCTTGTTCCCAAAAAAAGCTTTTTTGTTTTAAACAATTTCTTATGGCATGATACGTCACTCTACGATATTATTGACTAGATAACAATCTTAAGTGACTCAGCTTACATGAATGGCAATTTTATGCTATAAAGTTAGATCTTGCATTCCTCGTTAGCAGAGAAGAGCTTAACACTTACAATCTCTATCTGCCTGCTGCATCCGTGTATCCTCCTCCTGCAAGTAGGTTTGGAGGTTTTTTAACACCTGGATTTTTAAGTTTACTGAGCAGTTCTTATCTGAAAGAATGCTGTTGTACAGAGTCTTCACTTCCTGTTCGAACATTAAACTTGGGTGTTGTATAAATGCAAATCCTAAAGGAAGGGGAGGGAAAAAAGAGGTTTGTTATCTTCTAGAAACCGTATATGTATTTTTGAAAGTCTTGCCTCAAACATAGTTATGAAATAAAATGCAGTCTTTCACTCAGGTGCTGCAAGTACAACTCAGAGACAGCAGAACGCAGTTTTACAAGATTCTGGTCACCTTGAATGTATTCAAGTACTTAAGCAAAACATAAATCAACTAGAGATTTACCATATTCTCATTTCTCTCTAGCCCATATAGTGCTGCTTTTTCCTGTGACCACCACCCAAAGCCTGCAAGGAATTTTGGCAGCTGCAACAGCAGCCCTCAGTGCGGGGACGAGGTGGAGGCACCAACGCAGGGCCCATGCAGCCAGCAGCAAGGCCGGTGCCTCCGCGACCAGGAGCTCTCCCCCAGAATGAGACAGCCACAACCCTGAAAGTTCCCCTGGGTTTTCCAACACATTTGGAGAAAAAATTCTGCCAAAACTGTAAAGAACTATTCACATGGTGGCCAAGCAAAAGTAGAAAAAGAATAACAAAATATCACAAGTGTTTATAAATAAATCCTTGAAAGAAAAACAGCAAATGCACTAAACTTTGTACCTCTTGCTGCCATGATTTGTATACCTGCTAGACTCTTCTCTTGAAGACTACCCGAAATCTTCCTGAGATCACATCTGCTGGAAGATACCCCCTGACCTGGCATTTATCTGTTGTCTTATCCTCGCCAAAGAGCTGCTGCTTCTTACTCAGGGCAGTATTTATTTCATGAAGTTCCTAAGCTCACTTAGCAACACTGTACCCCAGAAGCCACCTGATGTCAGGGGCTGGAGGAGGCAGTCACATCCCGCAGCACAAACTCAAGTGCATGGGAAACAACCTTCTTTGGACTGAGCCCTCACCATGGTGCACTCTACCATAAACCAAGACCTATCCATCCAAACAAGTCTCCCAAATTTGCAATTTTTGTCCTTGAGAAGAGGATAAGTGTGATACCACCTGCTCAACACCACTTAATGTACCCCTGCAATTCACCGAGCTACTGTCTCAGGGAATGTCTGCAGGTAGAGAACCTATCTAAAACTGAAACATGGCCCAAATCCAAAGAGGAACTGTAGTGTTTTGGCTGTGACATCCTCTTAATGCCTCTTAACAAAATCTCCAGCTGAAGATCCGCCCTGACACTTAACAGCATCTGAAATGTTTCCAGCACTTTTTATTTTTCTAGTTGTTTTTTAACCATGCCTTGGGGGCTGAAAAGCAAGAACTGGAGTTACAACATACTTGGAGGTGGAAAAGAAAAAGTCATCATTCCTTTAGTAATCTGCTGCTGAAATAGGCTGCTAGCAGCCCTTTGACTACATTGCTATAGTCAGTTCTCTAATAAAACATGCAGTGAACTTTGATTTAAAATAAACCTCCCTGCCACTGCACAAACATACAGCATCCTGCTAAAGTGCATGCATTTTTACTAAGCAGAAGAGTAAAACTTTTAGTAATTCTTACCAAGGCCAATAATGGCTTTTGTCTGTACTTCCTCATCTGAGTGCTTCGTAAAATACATCAGAAGTTCAAGTACCTTATCCTTAATGTTAACCTGAGCAAATTAAAACAAAAATAATGAGTATTTGAAGATGAAACAGATTTTAATTTCTTCATTTTAATTTCTTAAAAGAATAAAAATCAAAATGTAAAGGAGAAAAATCTTACTGGAGAGCCTTTGGAAATGTTTAGTTTTACAAACTAAAAATCTACATCATAAGCATTATAAAAAAATACATAGCTTTGCATGACAAGAAATTCTCTAATTTCAAGTAAATGAATACATAAAGAACTTGGAGAGTAAATACAAGTCATTTTACCTTACTGTTACCCTTAAAGTCTTCCTGATCAAAATCAAAATGCCGACATAATGCTCCAACAGTGAAAAGTGATCTGAGGAGTGCTGGTTTATTGGCAGTAAGTATTGTACTGTTGGGATCTTCTTGGTGTTGACTTTTTAGTTTGGAAAGTGCACCTGGAGAAAGGTGAAAGTTTTAATCAGGTGTGTGTTAATCACTGCATAGCCCTAAGATAACCAAGCATGCAACAAAACTTAAAAGTGACAAATACATATTGTGATTTTACTTACCATAGTATCTATTAAAACAGGCCCACACAAATTTATAGTTTTGTGTGACCTTGTTCACAACAGCCCCAAGACAGCTCACACAATGCTGAACAACCTAGAAGCAAGAGAACAAATTTATTATTTATTCAGAAGCCAAAATTGAGGTTTTTGTAAAATTATATAAACAAATAGCTATGTAAAACTAAAACTAATGCTCTAACATGCAATACTCATCTCCTAGACTGCTCTGAAAGGCCCTACACAAGCTGATAATCATTAAAAACAGCAACATCCCCTACAGACTCAGGCAAACCACAAAATTACCAGTCCTATGACCAGCATAAACTTCATACTGAAGATAAAATTTCTTTAAATGAAAACTACATATTTCAACACATGAAACGGAACCAACATCAGAAGAGCAAGAATTACACTTTACCGTCATGCCGTATTTGATGATGAGTTTCATGAGATCTTCCTCAATAGTGGCAAGGAAGGTCTCACTTGGGTGCTCCATTAGTGGAACTACGAGCTCTAGGATTTTTGCAACGTTGCAGATCACCATGAAATCATTCTGAGTCTGGAAGAACAGCATTTCCAGTGGTTAGCATTGCTGGCTGAGTGCGGATTGCAGTATTTGGTGAAGTTAAAATTAAAAATTAAAGTTTTAAAAGAATACTTAAATAGTTGACCTCTGACATTAACTTACACTATGTAGGAACTCTCCCTGACATACACCAAAGCTAGACTCTTCCTGACACACCCCTGATAAAACCCAAATAACAGCTAGCAATGAATCACCATCACATGAGGCTGTCCTATGTCTGAACAGGGTTTGAATGAAATAGACAGCAATGAGCACACAGGTATAATTATTAAAATAATCAGTATGTTCCAGACAATTCAAGTTTTGTAAATGTGAAGTCTACAGAAAACACTATATGGATTAAACACGCATCCTCCTAGAAACTGAAGGTTTCGGTAAATCAAGCTCACTGCTCATCACAGGACAACTTTATCAAGTGGATGGTGAATCCACTCAAGCTGCATAAACACAAAACTGACAGACTCCATCTCCACCAGAGACACTGCAGCAAGTAAACAAACAGATGCCCTTTCCTATACGGTTTGGTCAGCAGAGATAATAAGGAGCTGTTGGAGTGCTTGGTAGATAGGGACATTTCTCGTTCATTTTGGGTTACGAGATTGATTTTCTAGTTTTATCTACTTACGCTACATTTAGTGGTCAGGTATGGCTGCATGGTCATGGCATGTTTCACCATTAGTTGGGGCCTGATTTTGCTGAATAAGAACAAAGTGGTTATGCAAGCAACCAAGCGACCAGAATTCACCCCTTTGTTGTCAGAATCTGCAAGAATCAGCACACACAGGAAGGACATTAAATGTAAGCATTGTTTGACCAACTGAATACATGTCACATAAGCATCATAAGAAAATCTCTTTCATAACATATCTTTCTAGATCAATATAGAGTATGCTTATTAGATAAGACATTCAGGATGAGCACATGCAAGCATTAATGCATTATTTTATCACAAAGTTAAGTGAAAGAAGCAGCATAGATGTTTCAAAGACATCACTGGGTTTAAAACTCTTTATAAAGAAGACTGGCCCAGCCAATGATTCCTATTATAACTGTACAACACATTAAGGCAAATAAAGTTTTCCAAATATGAGGAAATTTATTTTGTTTTTAACTTATCTAAAAGTTTGAATAAGTTATTTTAAAAGCAGTTCAGTTAAGGTGGTTATCTGGAGAAAGTCAGGGGAGCTTTATGATAACAGTGCTGAAAAGTTCCTTTGACTATAATCGACTTAAATGCAAGATCCTGACAAAGGCCTCAACTCATCACCACAGGTTCTGTAATAGTAATTCCACCACAGTAACTTCTCATGATAGTAATTTTAAAAATCATTACGAGTTTCATATAAAACTTAAAGTAGTACAGCTACTGTACTATAAATAACATTACCTGATAAAGATTCCTCATATTTAAGGATGTGCTCAACCAAATTGTCAACAAGTTGAGTACAGGCTTTCTTCACAGGTTTATATGAGGCATCCTCTTCTGACTTCAATAACTAAAATGGAGTAAACAGAAAATAATTTATTGTTAAGGGTGCAATCATTTACATTGGATGCACATTGGTTTTACAGCAATTATTATAGATTTACATGTATTTTGTGCTATGAAATAATTTATACGACTTGTCCATTACAGGTATAGGATGAAGAAAAATTTAAGTGAAGTAACAAACCAAAATATGAGTTGAGAAAAATTAACCATGTCAAAAAAATAAAAGAGAACAAATCCACTGATTTTTGCATTGGGATGAAAGATAAACTGTGTTTAATGAAATAATAATATAGTTATACTTGCCAATGGTAACTAATAGGAGCTAACAACAATTTGATATATATTTTGTTTTAAAATTTCAATAACAACATTCTTTTGATTTTACTTTAAGGAAAAAAAATCAATTCAGATAAAATGCATTTTTATGATCCCTGTAATCAGTGAGGCCTCCTTTCTTATTCTTATGACTTCAGGAGCTAAAATTGCTTCCCTGCAGATCCTTTGATATCTAGCAAGGATCGAGTCTGTCCTATGGCTTTCTGTTCTGTAGAGGCATTAAAGGGGCCTCTGGCTACCTATTTCCATGACACTCAATGAAAAACTAAAATCTTTTGATATCTCCAATTGCCTCATCCATAATTCCCAAGCAAAATTACCCAAAGTAACTGGTGCACACAAGATGTACAGGAGAATGACAGCACAGACAGATCCATACAAAGCAAGCTCAGGGTAAAATAAAGGTAGGAATAAACAATACTCTCAACATTCACTGCTTCTATAAACTGCGTGACAAAAACTCAGAAATACACTTATCTGCCACTTAAAACAATCTACATGGATAGATACCTCCTTTCAGAATTAACAGGAAGGCTGCAGGTAACATATTCTCCATAACTGAGAAGACAGTGAATAATCACATATAAAGATGAAAAGTATTGGCAGAGACAAAATGCACCAACGAAGACCAAAAAAAAAAAAAAAAAAGGCAGATATTTAAAGAGCATGAATGGAATTAGTCTATTCTGTGTGATCATTCCAGTAGTTCCCCTTCAGTGTGCTTTAGTACCAAGAAAAATGTTAATACACCTAAAATGACTGTGGCATATCCTCAAAACTCATTACTTACATTTTGAAGAAGCTGTTCAAACCAGTCATACCCTTTATCTCTACAAGCTGCAACCTAAAAGTAGGATTTAAAATAAACTAATTAAAAGGTGAATCTGAAGAAACATTACTTTAATACAGACTTCGTATTAAAAGTAGAGTACACACACACCCCTATTATTTTCCTATGCATTCAGTGCAATGGTTTTATGCCATTAAAGATCAGAAAACATGTCTTTTGTACTTGAAAAAATGCTTCTCATATTGTAAGTGATTCCGAAATTTGTATTTCATACAGCACAAGGTCTACAGATTTTAATGTTCTCACCCTGGGTGAGGACGTGACCCAGTATTTGTTAAAACGGCTATTAAGCTTTCAAAACAAATTTTTATCAATCACTGTAAGAATTTTTTCATTTAAGAGAGAACTTCTTAGCTTCAATTAATACTATAGGCTGCTATTAGCATTTCCAGGAAAATGTTATACATAAAAGAATTCCTATGCTTTAGCTGAACAATTATTTTACACAACTTCAATACAACGTGGTCCCAGTTACCACTATCAACAGATTACTGAGCATTTAAGTGTCCTACAGTCCTGTTCCATGAGATAAACACTAGGATATGTTCAGGGACAGCAGACACAAAGAAAATGGCCTGATAATTAAATTACTTCCTTTTTCGTGCTTTCTAAAAGATTATGGATAAGCATTTCAAAGATATTTGAAACAATCAAATTTTGCATGCAATGATTCAGATTTCTAGAACATACCACATCAGTGATGTTTAGGATCTTCCTGGTCATTGCTTCTTTGTCACTGTGTGGAGTCGGAGTAAACCAGAGCTTCTGGAATGTCTCATTTACTAATTTCTGAGAGGAAAAAAATATTATTATAAATAAATAAGTTTATCTTGACATGCAGGCATTATTTCTTGTATATATATTTTAATATCTAGTATTTTCACTATGCAATAGATGTGTTGGTGATACGTGCCATTTCATATGAAGTTATCAACCTCGGTGAGTCTGTTTCAGAGAATATCTTTCTGAGACAGATCCAGATCTACTATTACAGAAGTTACACTGACCTCTAAGCACAAAATATCACTGGGAACCGATGCTACAGAAAATGGAGTTGTCACTTTCCTCCTTTAATCCGCACTTCGCCCCCCCCGGCACATTGCTGCCCATGGCCTCCTCGCTGCCCGCCCAGCTGCCAGGTCCCTCTCCAGAGCTGCCCCAGCGGGTCGGCCCAGGCCTGCACCGCGCAGGGCTCTGCTCCTCCTGGCTCAGCTGGGAGGGCCCTCTCTGCGCAGCCCTCCTGCCCCCAGCTCTGCCCCTCCAGCCGCCCTCGAGGGCCGCCCTGAAGCCGCCCGCTCGCGTAAACAGCACTGAGCCCCGCTCTGCCCTCTGCCAGCCACAGACCTGGCCATGGCCCTCTGAGCTCTGCCATTCTCACTGCTAACTTGGATCTAAAGTTCAATTCATTTTTACGTGATAATTTTGCTTATCAGAAAACAGAAGGAACAGTGATAATAATTGCAAGAGGAAAAAACTAAAACTTAGGAAGTAACTTAAAAATATATCTCTTGATTGCCAGCAAAATCTGGAAAGAAAACAGAAAAAAGAAAAGCAAACCTCAGCAATGTAGGAGGTGAAAAGAAAATCACATATATTACAAAATAGCAATTAAATACTTTCATAAATTAACTTTTGTCAAACTATAGAAATAAGAAATAACAATAATTAAAAAACAGAAGGATATGTTTTATTCTACCTTAATGCCTTCTTCATCATTGACTCTCCGAATCATTTTCACACACATTTCTGTAATTTTGGGAAAAGTTGGTTGTTCAATGCAGATATCTCTAAGTATCTTTATGACTCTTTTTCTGACACTGATACCAGTATCCTGTGAGGAGAGAAGCATTACAGTCTTGAAAACAAATCAGCCATATCAATTAATTTATATATCATATAAATTAAGAATTGAAGATTACTCAATCTATACTTGCAAAATGTATTTTATAAAGACAGTTAAATATTCTAGAGTGCCTTTAAATGAAAGATCCACATAACTGGTAGCATTTTATTTCCAAGGGTTCTAAAGTCCTGGCCTGAGTCCCATGAATGATGTTAGCATTTCCTCCATTTATCTCCTCTCCCTTAAGAGCTCCTGATGGTGTGTGTAATTCCACTCCTTAATTCAAGAGTTCAAAGCTAGACAGGATGATGCTTTAACCTCTTTGCTGAAACACACAAGACCCTTTGTAGGTCTGGGTCATAATTCTTCAAGGCTTTGCACAAAGTTTATGGATATGATGTGCCACAAGTCTTTTCCATTTTCCTAGACTTAGCCTTAAAAGCTGAACAAGGAGCTTCAATCCACATTATCTGATACAAAAATGCTACACGTACAAAGCTAATTATCTTTAAAGCCCTCCATAAAGATGTTTATCATACAAATACAGCAAATCAACTAAAACCTGACATAGATGAGGCTAGTGTTACAATTAAATTCCCATTGTATGTTATCTGAACATCCGGACGTGAAATACTTGTACAAAACCTCTAACAAGAAACCTTTTAAAGTTTCGTAGAGTAGAAACACAAAACACTGTGTTCTACTCTACAAATACAAATATAGAGTAGAAAAACAAAAAATGTGATCCTTTTTTCTTTTGGATTACAAATGGCAACTTCAGATTAGTGTGCTGTAGATCTGCCCACACTAGTTAAGTGCCTTCAGTGACCTGTATCTTCAGAGACATGGTAAAATGCCTCAATTTCACTCAGTTTGTGCACTAATGGAATCAAAAAGAATAAAATTGTCAATATCCTGGTGTTGCTCTGTACAGCTTTCTACGTGTGTTTACCTTTTGATTCCTTACTGGAAACAAGCAATGCATTTTATGAAATTGGTCTTATGAACATTGTATTTCCAGTTAAAACAATAAAAACTAATTTACTCTCAAGGTCAGAACATTATTTTGCATTATTAAAAATAAACTCCATTTAAAACCAGTTTTCTAATGCCGTGTACTAATTCATGAGTCATATCCGCCCCACAGGACGCCGTACCAATATCCTTTCAATCAGCATGTCGTAATACTGCTCAGCAAGCTGGGGACGACAGAGCACGAAGCGGCCGAGCAGCTCCACGGCCGCCTCTCGCACGCTGGTGGAGTTGTCCATTAACCGGCCGTGAACACCTCGCTGCATATCCAGCTAAATCAGTGAACCAAAGACAAAGCCGGTGTAAGAAACGAAGAATTCTTTTAGGCATTACAGAAAAATACATGTGCATGAGGGATAGTTCCTTTTTTTTTTTTACCCTGGCTAGAATACTGGGATCTACAGCAACAACCTCAGACAAACACTTCATGGCTTTTGTTCGAACAGCAATTGCATTTTCACCAAGTACACGCAGAATCTAATAAGAGAACAAAAACAACATTTCAAGTGCTTTGGGAAGGCAGCAAACAATGTTTAACAAAGGCAAAAAATGCAGTGGAATAACATGCAAAATATTAAACTAAAATAAAAAAAATCTGACTTTCAAAAACTGAGTCTATCTTCTCAGAGAGTAAGAAGGTACATGCGAATGATGTTCAATGGCACCGATAACCAGGTATGGATATTTGCTACAATTTGCTATATCTCTAAGGTTAGTCCAAATAGGATCTACATGGGGTGTGTATCTTTAAAACCCTTCATTTTAAACTCAGCTTTTGACATTCATGTGTGGCTTTCACCATAGTTTTCTTCAACAGAAGAGATTGATTTGGGCACTGTAACTGCTCTCTGCGCAGATCAATACCAGGACTGCAACTTAAACCACTACTGGAGTTCAAATGAGCCCACATGTTAATACTCTTCTCCCCAGAAAAGGGGAGAAAGCACTTTGGTCAAACAGCAGCTTCCAAAGTGACAGCCCCATGTGCTGCAAACATATCACCGCATTGGTTTATATTTTCAAAACTTTGAATATGAACAAACACACACATGAGGCATTAAGATACATTTCATGAGTTAATATTATCAAATGAGCATGCATCTTACAAAATCTGTGAAAAGATTTCAGCATTTTTAATTGTTCTTTTACTACATATATCTAATAAAATGATTTTTGTCATACACATATGCACAAATAAAATAATATATATATAGCATGGCACGTGTGAAACACATGCAAGGAAAAGAAAAATAAGCAATTATGTCATCAATACAGAATATGAAAGCATGTGGTGTTATTATGGCCTGTTAGATACCTGTGCTCAATAACGAACAGATATTTCACGCTACCCCATAAGTGTTTGGAATGAGAAACCAACTGTGTTTCACTGTACTAAGACTTCTGGCACAGCTTACCTGTGTCAAATAAATATCGAAGCTCTGGGCAAACGGCCTCATAGAGGCCAAGTAGCGAACAATCAAGCACGCATCCTCATAGTCCACAGTGTCAGAATTCATCCTGCAACAGAGTCACTGGGTTAATCAGGATACGCTTAATGAAAAATAATTTAAAAAAAAAATCAAAAGCATGCTAAATGAGGACATCAGCACTACTGAAACGTACTTTAATGTACTGAACTGAGATGGAGCAGTTTTAATGATGCTGCGGAGAAATTTTTTGCGACTTTCTGCTCTGTGCATGATTTGTCCTGTAGTCTCAACATCTTTTGCATGGTGACTTCCTTCGGACGAGTCCTCGTCCTTCTGAGACTTAATGGCTTTCTCTGTCTCCATGGTTGTATCACGGAACCACTGAGCTATGTAAAACTTCCGAGAAAACTGAGGAAATACAGCAGGATCCACAGGAAAAAAAAAAAAAAAAAAGTAGATAAAGAAGGGGGAGATTAATAGGTTTATAATGAGATTAAGCTAGTCTAACACATAGAAAATACAATCAACGCTTTATGTCAGGACAACAAAATAACTGAAGCAGTGACAGACATGAATCCAAATCATTTTCTTCAGCCTTACATTTATTATTTGCAGATATATTTAAATTCAGAAAACTGAAATTTACCACTAATGAAGCATCAGTTTCTGTATTCTCATCCAGATAATCTAGCAAAGCCTTTTGCAGCTGCTGGATTTCATCTCCTCCTCCTGAAACCTGTCAGAGGTAGCAGAGACAGCTATAAAACACAGTATTGCACAGTGGTAAATAAAATCTGAAAATCTGCATACCCACGTATAAAGTACACTGAAAAATACATCTGAATATGTCTACCAAGAGATCCTCTTATTTTCTTGCCTTTTGAACAACAAAGTGAAACTCAGCAGTAACGTATACATTTCTGAGTAGTTATCTGTTATTTTATAAATTGGTTATAAACAACACATTATGGGTGGTACTGCATAAAATTCACCATCCATAATGTATAGATGGTACTGTCTACCACCACTCATATTAAGTATATGTTTCCTCCTACTGTGCAATGACATACACATACATACATATAGATATTTTTAAGGTCTCTTAGGACAGTCTCCACCTGTTGCTCCACTATTTCCTTTCTATTGTCACAACAAAACTTGTTTCACCATTCTAACTAACAACTTGACATGATCATTAGGGGGTTGACTTAAGACAGACAATGATGAGCTAACCAACCTGGTATTTGTAAACTGACCCAGGTATCTTTGAACAGCAATGGGAAACAGATTCTGCAGATACCATGTTTCTTAAACACATCTTTAAGACTGCAACACTACCTTTTTTATTATTATTATTTTTATTTTTTAAAAGTATGTTTCTCAATCCAGCTGGTCAAGCACTAACCAGCCCAGGACCCCTCACACACCTGCTTGAGAATTCTGGCTATAGAGCCTTGATCCATTTTGCTAGTGACCGCATCTTTCCTCAGCCTTGCAGCCACAGTTCCAAGATAGTCAAGGGATGCAACTCTTAAAGCCATTTCTGTAGATTTATTACTGAACTGGTGAACCTAAGGAAAGCAGAATACTTAAATATGTATATATTTTTTTACGCATCTGAGATTCTTCTCACGAGACACTGTTTGACTTTACTACTTCATGCTGCATAAAATTGTCACTCTTATACCACAGATATGCTCCTTACTTTAATTTTAAGAATTTTTGCATCTCTCTATAAATACACCCTTTTGAGTTATTTAAAATACCTATTTTTATAAAATGATCTGGATATCTGGTATATAGCGGATAAACTTTGCAATAGCATAGACCTTAAGCACCAAAATGAATCTTCCGCATTATTCACACAACCATAATGAATGCTAAATTAACTAGGAACACAACCATAAAACATCTGTTTTCCAAGAAGCTATTCAAATTACTGTGCTAGTTACATCTTAATACCCAAGAAGAATGCATGAAAAACACATGCCAACAAAAATGTTTACGTTCTATTAAATGCTACATTCCTTAAGGAAATGTATTATTTATCAGCAGAAAACCAAAATATGTACTTAACTGTTCTCATGCTCTGTGCTAAATGAGTAGTCCAGAGAAAATATTTACCATGAATAATTACAGCTACAAGGCTGTTTTTACCGCCAAGCAGGTATATGCACTTTTTTGGCTTTTTTTTAGTGGAAAAAAGGGGATATATCACAGAATGGAAGCAGCCTTCCATGAGAACAAGTCCTCGTTTGCAAGTCATGTTGATCAGTCCTACCATGTTCTAACCTAAAATGCATTATCTGTCTTATGTAACAATGATATACACATGAAAATCCTTAGATGTTGCATGTTTGTCAGCTATCATCAGAAGCATTCTTGTAAGAGTTTGAGTTGAAATAAGCCTTCATTGTAATGAGAAATCAATTACCATGACAGCTAAAAGCAAAAATCTCTTACCAACAGCCTTCCTAATAAGCTAAGTAGCAACTCTGCAGCTGGCCATTCTGGTTTATTGACTGTGGAAAGAAGATCTTGAATAAAGTTCTCAAACAGTGGCCTATAATCTTCTTCCCCTTGTTTACTACCACACCTGTTTAAAAGAACAAACTTTGTAAGTATTTTTAAAAGACATTTAAGCTTTTCTTCTGATATTAAAAAAGCAGCCCTATGATTTAACAGATAATGAATTTTATGGAATTATAAGAAGAAAACTTTTGAAATATTGACTTTTTTGCAGAAAAAAATATTTTATTCAGTTAAAGATGAACAAGTTGAACTTTTAACACTCCACACTGCACTGCAGGAAATGCTGCTAAATCCAAGCTAGTGGGCTTTTGTTCCTGACATTTTATTTATTGTTTTAAGTCTGCACGAAGAGGATGGACAAGGCTAAATTAAAAATCTAAAGCTCAAGCTCGAAAAGTGCATTTAGGAAATAATGTGCTTACACTCCTAGAGTCTGGCATGACTCATCTCATTTTCATAAAACATCTCAGTACCCACACTTCACAAAGGCTAAAAAGAATCCTAACTTCCTAAGAGAATACCCTGAAGTATACAGGAACCTCCTGTATAAATGCTTAGCTAGGCTATTTAGTCATACCATAAAGAAACTTTCTTTTTCTGTTGACCTATTAATAACCCCAGTTTCACATAAATGAAAAGTATTTTAGGCTTTTTCTTTCTTAGTCATTCTGATGAGGTAATATAGTAGTACATTTCACCTCTTCAATATTTAACCAGATTTTTCTTCTACCCTTCAGATGAGTAAAAGACACCCAGTAAAAGGATCCTATGAAAGTGTTAGACAGATTCTTAAAATTTCTGTTCCATAGAAAAATTTGTCCAGACAAGTAACTCTCTTAGAACCAGAGAATGCTGAAGGTTGGAAGGGACCTCTAGAGGTCATCTAGTCCAACCCCCATGCACACGCAGGGTCACTAGAGCACATGGCACAGGACTGCATCCAAGCGGGTTTTGATGATCTCCAGAGAAGGAGACTCCACAACCTCTCTGGGCAGCCTGTTCCAGCGCTATGTCACCCTCACTGTTAAGAAATTTTTCCTTAAGTAAGTTCCTGTGGAACTTCTGATGGTCAGAAGTTCAGTCCCCAGCCTGTACTGGTGTCTGGGGTTATTCCTCCCCAGGTGCAGGACCTTGTACTTGGCCTTGTTGAATTGCATGAGGTTTTTCACCGCCCACTTGCCCAGTCTGTCCAGGTCCCTCTGGATGGCAGTGCAGCCCTCTGGGGTATCAGCTACTCCTCCCAGTTTGGTATCATCAGCAAACTTGCTGAGGGAGCACTCTGTGCCTTCATCCAGGTCATTGATGAATAAATTGAACAGGACTGGACCAAGGACGGCCCCCGGGGGGACCCCGCTAGCTACAGGCCTCCAACTAGACTCGGCACCGCTGATCACCACCCTCTGAGCTCTGCCATCCAACCAGTTCCTAATCCACCTCACTGTGCACTCATCTATCCCACACT